TGCCGTAAGTAACTGCTGTTATGTCCGCTTTCCTATACACAAATGTTGATGACTTACAACAAAGTCATGGAAACAGTATCCAATATTGCCCCTCTCCTGCATAGCACACATATTACACCGTTATTTGTCTTTTTCAAATGTATCGCTAGAATTTTGTTAAAGCATTATTGCCATTGTAGTTTTTTTTATCGAAACATTAAAAAAAGAAAATAATGTTTTTTTTTTTTGGATTTCGATGTTTCTCAGAGTCAAGTCCAATATAATGGACGTCTTTTTGGATAATGGATGCTGACAAAAATTCTAGCTACGATACGACAATAACGAGTTGCTTGCGGTACCGGGGAATTCGATTGCAGTCTTCGGCAATGTTACAATTATTTCAAATCGATTAGACTTTTATTGGTGGAAACAAATATTTTTGATTTATATATAATTTGTATTTTTTTAATTTGGCGCAAAATAAATTTCTAAAGGAAAAACAAACTTATTAGGTTCCAAAGTCATTGAAAACCCATATTTCAAAAAAAAAAAAAAAAACAAATAGCAAAGAATATTTTTAAAATCCTGATTTATTTTAGGTAATTTCACATATAACAGTTCTCAGTATGTAAGTGACCTATGTGAGGTTTACCGATCATTTGCGATATCAAAATAAAAAAACCAGGTGTAAATTTAAAGTATATAGTTATAGTTATTCCTGAGTATATCGAACCATATACAAGAAAATAATTAATTGATTTTTTTTACCCAGCAAAAACTTGGTAAGTACCTACCAAATTCAACCAGAACAATATAAAAGTTATTTGCCATTTTATAACCATTGTTTTTTCAATAAAAATAATAATTTTAAAGCAGATTTGAAATATATACTTTTAATAATATCAAAAATATATAGACTTGCTTCAAATTAGTTTTCATATAATAAATTTTGTTAATTCGCTTACATTATACACTTTATAAGGTTTTTTGCTTAGATCAAAAATATAAGCTTACCCGTTTTTTTTCAATAACAATTACAATTTATATACTTTAAAATAATAACAATAATAATAATTACGCGAATATTTTATATAATAAATTATATGAGGTAAGTAATAGTTTTTACAGATATACCAATATAATAACAACGTTTTTCAACTTTTTAAAGTTAACATTTTCTTTTCGGTTAAAAAAGTTTTTGCTGGGTTTCATTTAGCATTATAAGTTAGCTTTTTTCCCCCCAGAGGTTTTCATAAAACCGACATTTGAGCAAAGAAATCAGTTATACCACCACAAATTAGTAAAAAAAAAAATAATCAATTTAAATTTATATATATTTTTTATATAACAGATATGCCTAAAAATAAATATTTCTTTCAGAATAACAAGCATTGCAAACGAATATTTAGAAGCTTGGGTGTTTTAGATTTAGACATATTTTCTGAATATTATAATACTAATATTCAGTACAGCCCTTCTAATTGCTATATCAAAGCATTATCATGCCTATTCTTTGGCGATCCCCTCCTCGATGTAAAATTTCGTGGTGTTTGGGCCATAATTTCAACCTCAGGAGCGATAGGAAATATCGACAAAACTTAAGTATGTGGTACATTTCATCCCCTAAATATTGACCGATCTTTACTAAATATGGGTCTTCACTGGCCCGAGCCCATCCTACATGCAAAATTTCATGAAGATGGGTCCATAACTGTGGTCTGTAACGTGTTTTCAAAATATAATGGACAGACGGACACATGTCTAGATCGACTCAACTATTCCAGATATGACGATCGGTATACTTAAAGGTGGGTCTGGGACCAATATTTTGCGGCGTTACAAAATCTTGGGGCTGCACAAAGCTATAATACCCTGACAACATAATTGTATAGGGTATAAAAGTATGCAAAATAAGTGGTCTAGTTATTATGAATCTGCAATTCTGAGTTCTGTGATGCTGGCGAAATCCATTTCTATGATATGCAGTTGATTTGCTATCTCTGAAACCGCTATTTCAGGCTTCAAGCCCTCTATATAGACATATTGAGGACATTGCTGATTTTCTGCTCATACAGCTTAAAATATATATTCCTTTTGGACCCAATACTTAAACAGACTTTTTTGTGGAAAATTAATTTAAGCTAGTCTAATTGTTGAAAGCACGATAGAGCTTGCAACATTTTAACTAGAAAATTTCCACAGACATTGCTACTACAACTAGGGTGGTACTGGCTTTGGAAAATGGGATTTATCGTTCCAAGTTTTAGTATAGTCCCCACAAAAAAAACTTCAAAAGAGATCAATAATAATGTTCATGTTCGCTCGTGTTGTGTGGCAGCATCTTGTTGAAACGACATATTTTCCAAATCATATTCTTCAAATGCAGGCAAAAAATTGGTTTTCATATGACATATCGCTCCCTTTCATTGTCGTTTCTGAAGAAGTTAGGGGCAATCACGCCAAAGAGGGCACCAAACACTGACTATTTCTGTAATGGCCTCTCTTTGTAATGTAATGGCCTCCCCTTGATTACTTGAGGATTCTCAAAACCCCAATTTTGTTTTTGAACATACCCACGATTGGACTATTTCTTAAACTATAATATTTTCTTAAAGCACGATATGTGACTGTGGCAAAATCTCCATGTTTATACCCCCAGCCTTATGGCTAATGAGGGTATATACACTTTGCTACGCAAAAAATTTCCTCATCGAAATATTGATTTAAGACCCATGTTTATTTGGGCCAAATCCGTTTCAGACAATTTGGAGTCCATTTACAAATGTCCGTCCGTCTCGATTTCTTCCAAACTTTGCACATTATAATATGTATATTAAATTCAAAGATGAGGACAGTCGGTCCACTTCTTCTGGTACCTTCCCCACGAAATTCTCACAATTTTGCTGAACATTAATTTTGTAATATCATGCAATTTGAACAGAAAAGTCCCAAAGATGGGACTTAACGGAGCATTGATTCCAGAACCTCCCCCACAAAGGGTCAACATTTTCATATATTTATAAATCCAACATTAAACGAATGAAATGTCCCATTTGAACCAAATTTAACACAAAGCAATATTTTTTACCCATCGGCCCACTCCTTAGGGTAAGTCTTCCACAAAGTGTCAAAATATTCATTCCAAGTGGATTGACCCAAACTCTTCACATCGTCAAATTTTTCCCCACTCTATATCAAGTTCGAATTCGAAGGTTCAAAATTTTAAAAAAACGAAACGAATCCAATTTGGAATGTCCGATTTGCTACAAAATACACACATCGTAATATTTATTTTAAACTTAAATCATGATCGAAGATGGGACCCATCGCTCCCCTACTTCTGATAACTTCCACGTTATAAAAAATAACATCAGTTATGTGTCAAGCCTTCGTTATTTCAAGTGATTTATTATTTGCAGAGGCAATCCAAATCGATTATGGAGGGGAGTACTAACTATAAGCTGATGTAAAGATGCTCAATGTCTCGCAAAATTAGCTTATTTCCGTCTTTACTTGCAGACACGATTTAAAGCGTATTAAGTATCGGTATAAGTTTAATGTGCCAAGTGCGTCAAGTTGATCTGATAGGCCCATATTGAAAACTGTTTGGATAAACGTCTTTATCTCACATCCAGTTATTTCGATTTTTATTATAGTCTATATCAACAGACTACCCCTTGAATCTCTTTTGTACTTTCCTTACATTCATTTCCATGTGAAGGGCTTACTCAATTAGGAATCCCAACATTAAGTTTCTCTTCGTATATATTGTTTATATGTTGTGTACATTTAAAACTATATATATATATATATATATATAAATTAAGGGCTATACCTACTTTTTAAGATTTGGAACAGATATATTAATTTTTTGTTAGAATTCTTAAAAATATTCTAAGACATTCAAAGGACTTCTAAGTAGTCTCACGATATTCTGGCCAATTTATAAAGTGACTTGCAATTTATTAACTGACTTAACATTAAAAAAAAAATAAATATTTATATATATATTTTTAATACAGAAATTATCTCTCTCTACCTTCGTTAAAAAAAGTTTCAAATTAGGCTTACTATTGATAATGCTCTCTAGCTTTCGCTCTCACACCACCTCGTTCTCTGTACTCTCAACCAAATAATACGCTGTCTTCTAAAACAAAAATATATCTAACATCTAAATATCATAATTATTTAATTTAAAAAATAATTTATTTCTTTTTTTTAAATTTTAACTTAACCATAACATACATTTTCTTCTAATACTACATTTGTTTCTAACTATTATATACATAACTGTATATATAAATAATAATACCCTAACATATACCAATATACATACAAATGTATTAATTGTCTAACATAATTTTATACATACAACATATTATAAATATATATAAATATTAACATTTTCCCCTATATTTATAACACATTCAATTTTTATTATATATAAAAATATTATATTAATATATAAAAAATTTCAAAACATGAAATGTTTCAAAATTTTTGCTCCATAATTTATATTATATTTGTATTTTCATTTTTTTGTTTTTTTTTTTATATCGTTCGTTTATATACATCGTACGTACTCTCTGTTTCTTCTTTCTCTTCATGTCGACAAATCAAAATCCAAAAATATATATATCGAAATCAAAACAAACGACAAAATATCGCAAACCAAAAATTATTCAAAAAATAACAATTAATCGAAAATAATAACATTGCCTGTGAAAAAAAAACCAATTACCAATAACCGTTATATACCACCCGTTAACCGCAATTCGATTACTTTTTCCCACTCCCATCATCGACACCATCACAAAACATTTGCTGCTCAAAAATATGAAAAATTCCAAAACCGAAAATAAATCAAAAAAATTAAACGAATTCAAAACAAAAAAATGGTTACCGAATAACTGCAATAATTCAAAAATGTTTGACACAAAACCGAAATTGATTGACACTCTACTATGTGTGTGTGTGTCCGTGTCGCATTAATGATGGTTTGTTTGCAAAATGCCAAATAGGCCGGTCGGAGTTTGGGGAAAAATTGTGGGATCACTGTGTGCCATTGCTGGTGTCTTGACAATCGCTCTACCGGTACCGGTTATTGTCAGTAATTTCAATTATTTCTATCACCGTGAAACGGATCAAGAGGAGATGCAGAGCCAAAACTTCAATCACGTTACTAGTTGTCCATATTTACCTGGTACATTAGGTAAGTTTGAGTTTAATTTTATAACACCCATACATACACACACACCTGTTACTTTTTTGCGCTCTCTCGCTCTCTACAACAAACAAATATTGTTCTCTTTAAAACAAAAACTGCTTTCCTTTTATAACAATCCCACCACACAAATAAACAACACCAACAAAATCCACGTAACAAATTTCCACCAGTTAACAGTAAACAAAAAAGAGAAAAGTTGTTTCTCTTTTTTTCTTAACATAGCACTTTTCTTCTTGCTCGCTCGCTCTCTTTCTGTAGTTAGGCCAATACACACATACACACTTGGAAACAACACACCTGTAGTATAGACTGACCACTCAAGCACACTTTTTTCTTCTTCTGGGAAAACTCCATTAAACATAACATCCAGTCCAGACCACTCCAGTGATATTAATATCCTGTTCCCTCTCGCTCTTTTCCTCTCCCCTATATCCCTTCTCTAAGAGTACCCAATTTAAAAGTAAAGTAATTGCTTCCATGTTAGGATCCTTTTTAAAGAAACCACCAAACACATTTTGCTCAATTTTTATATTTTTTATTTCTTTTTCTATAATACCCAACAAACCAAACAACAACAACAAAAATGGTCTAAACAATGCGCTAAACAAACTAAAAAAAATTGAAAAATTACAACAAAAAACAACAACAACTACACCACCCGACACAATCACCATTCACCACCACCACTCAACGAAAATAATTGCCCATTGCCATCATCCTGTAACAAAAATATCTCGTTTGTTTTGTTTTTTTTCTGTTCATTTTCTTGTTCATTTTTTTTTCGATCACAACAACAACAATTTTGTAATTGTAACCGCCCTCTCCCCACGTTACTCCTTGTTATCCCAAGTAGGTCAACATTTAAAGAAATCATCGTTGTCTGAGTCCTCATCAGATATGATGGATTTGGATGATGGTGTCGAATCAACGCCGGGACTGACTGATACGCATCCTGGTCGTTCGATGGTTCCATTTTTGGGAGCCACCCATCAACATTCTCATATAGCTCCAACAACGGCCTCGTGCGCCACCGCCGCCGCTGGCGTCGCCAATAATACGGCGGCGTCTGCTATAACCACAACCCTGCCAGCAACGCCTCAGCAACAAACGCCAGACAAACAGCAGCAGCAGCACCCGCAGCAACAACACCAGTTGCCACATCAGCAGCAGCAGCAACAACAAATCCAGTTGCAAAATGGCTATAAACAATCTGCCATCAGTGTTACCAGCAGTGGTAACATCCAGACCCATAGGCATAATAATGCTTTGGCCGTTAGTATCGAAACCGACGTTTGACTACTGGGTAAGTGTTGGGCTCTCTGAGTCCTATATTATCAGTTTTTGTGTGTGTTCTTTTGTTATTGTTATTTCTTTTTTATTTTGAAGTATACATATATTTTATTAGTCTAAATACATTTAATATTTTTAATAAACTATAGAATGTATATTTAAATTTATAACATAACGATCTCTTATCCTGTGTAATTTCTTCTGTGTGTAACTGATTTCTTGTGCTCATCATATTGTACGCTCTTAAACAACAACAAACAAAAAACCGTACAACTTATCTTTTGTAATTGTTTGGAGAAATAAATAACTCTTATTTCGAAAGCATTTCACTCTGTCTACTCTCTTGTTCTCATTTAATAACTCTTGAAACTCATATAAAAATAGAGAGAGCTGAACTAAAATAGTGGTAGAATATCATTTACACGGTATTCTTATCACTGAGAAGAGTTTCTTTGTTTACATTCTCTTATTGTGAGATAAGTAGTACAATAATGAACTCTTCTTGGTGATTATTATAATTCTGTGTATTGGAAATACAGAGACGCCCTGTGTTTCTCCTATTTCGAATTAGAAATGTGGAAATTTCTAACAAGAATATAATTATGACCGAGAAGAGTATCGTTTGTATTAATACCATTATTATTAATTTGCTCTCAGTATCGTAAAGTAACTTGCAATTATTTTCACAATGTATCTTAAAATGTGTATTTAATAAATAAATGTAGTTTAATTTTGGTAATCATGGTTTCATACACTCGAATTCTCAAACAAATACGAATTATACAATTGTTCCATGACCATTTGGTGCTGTCAAATATCAAAAATCGTATGTAAAAAAAGTGAATCTGCTCTAGAATCTAAAAATGCAATTACTTCATGTATGATAGATGGGCTAACAATAGAATTTTACGCCGGGATGAAGGGGTCTTTTCGGTCTCCTTTTCCAGAAATGATTGTAAACTCATTTTAATCGGGATTATAGCATACCAGAATATTCTACAAAAAAAGTTAGACATAAAGTTTTAGACCAAAATTAAAAAATCTGTCTAAACGTCAAAAATCATAAAAATATGAATCTCGTGTTAGAAGGATGGTATAAAGAACACAAATATTCTCCAAATTTTAATAGAAGTCACTGAAAAAGAGACGTTAATTTAGAACAAAAAATGCAAAAAATCTAAATTTCCCAGTACTGTCGTTCAGTATTATAGAAAAATTTAACAAACCTCCCACATTAAGGCCGAGGTAATAACATTGCCCATTGAGCAGGGAAATTTGCCATATATGAAATGGTTGGCCGAATCTGTACACGAAAAGAAGTAAAGCGTGGAATTAATCCAACAAAACAAAAAAATGAGCGGAGTGATAGTCAGACGAGGCCGACCATACGATACCCTACACAACTACCACGGAACTCTAACTTTCTGCGGATCTTTATACCGAGTCTAGGCAATATTTCGTAATATTCGCACCCTCTGCACGGTTAGAGGTAAACAACACCTCTTCCTTACACTGGCATATTTTCTGAATATTTGTAATATTCAAGACAGCTCTTCTAATTACCTGTCCAGGTTCTCCTCACCCTGGGTTGTTTTGTGATTTTCGGCTTATAATTGTGGCTTATACAACACAAAAAATTTGGTTTTCGGTCCACTTCATTCCAAAATTATTATCTGATCATCACCGAAAATTATAAGTGTTGTCCTTGACCATAACCGGAACCTCATGGAAAATGTCAAAGCGATCAGCGCTATATTTCCGCCCTCTAGTGTGGTAATGGGTTACTAAAAAATATCTGAATACGTAAGCACCTGTAAATATTTAAGTGTAACTCCCACATCCGAGTACATACGACACTCCTCTTGGATATACTATCAACTTCTCGGGTCTATGTCCTACAGGGGTAAATATATACACCATAGAATACAAATTTTGTAATTTTTCACATAAAAGTCAGGATCCATTTGACCCGCTAAATATTGTCCGATCTTTATCAAAACAGGCATGCTTATTCTTTGGCCCGATCCCCTTCTCCAAAAAATTCGCGATGTTTTGACCATAATTGCGGCCTCTGGAGCGACCAGAAAATCAGACAAAAATAAAGTTTTTGTCCATTTCATCCCCTAAATATTAACTGATCTTTTCCAAAAATAAAAGGGGGTCTTCATTGGCCAGTACCCATCCTACATGCAAAATTTCGTAACTGTGGCCTGTATCGTGTTTACAGACACACATGTCTAGATCGACTCAGCTAGACGAGGTATGACGATCGGTATACTTAATGGTGGGTCTAGGACCAATATTTCGCGGCGTTACAAACTTTTGGGGCTGCACAAAGCTGTAATACCCTGACAACATAGTTGTGTAGGGTATAAAAAGTAGAATATCAAAACGGAGACGTTAACCTTTCAAGTGATATCAATTATATTGCTCTCAGATGAGGGAATATTTACTGACGTCTACGCATTCTCATATTCTTTAGTATTTATATCACCACACTAGAAGGCGGAAATGAAACGCTGATAGCTAGGAAACGTTTTCATGTGTTCCGGTTATGGTTAAGGAAGTAGCCTATAATTTTCGATGATGATTGGATGATATTCTGGCATGAAATAGACAAAAAAATGTATGTTTGTCTGTTTCTTTTTAGTCTCTCTGGAGGCCACTATTATAAACCGAAGATCACGAATGTCACAGGGAGAAGGGGATCGGGCCAACTATTTTGCTGGTCAAATGAGCCAAGACTTTTGTGGGTAAAATAACAAAATTGGAATTGTATAACGTACATGTCCACTCCGGGAAAACATAATACGTAAAATATGCCAAGGTAAGAAAAAGAAACAGTTGATTTCTAATCGGCGAAGTCAGGAACCCTAGCCTATAATCCTAGTTCATGCAAGAGCCAAATATGTGATCTTTCTAACGCCGGCGGAATTTTCGTATTTCGATGATTCAGTGAGGAGGTATCATATCCGCCCATTGAAATGCATGTTAAATTGAGAATGGGGGGTGTTCCCGGTGTTCGATTATACGACAAACATTTGCATTTTTTTTAGAAATATATGTTTAGAAACGAATCTAAAATGATTAGAAATATTTAAAGTCTGTTCTATAAATCCATGAAATGCTATATCATGACGAATCCTAAACGTCAGACATTTATCCGACTTTTCTGAAAAAATTCTAAAGTCGGTTTTTTAAACGCTCAACAGAGTTCTCCATTTTAGAATTTCATATTCTGTTATAATTTAGTTAAAATTATTTTTTTAGGATACTAATCTCTTATATATCCTCAAATAGACATGTCCAAAAAAGTTCAGGGGTCAGTTTTTATTTAAGGGGACCACCCCCATTCTCGGGGTCAAAATTTTTGTTGATATAATTCGAATCTACACTGATTAAAGAATGTCTCTACAAAATTTCAAGTGAAAATCTCAAGAACTGTTGAAGATATATCCGATTTATTGTGTCAGCATCAAGTGACGGCTGAAGGGCTTCTCAAACTTTAAACGCGTTTTTCTCTAAACATTTTTTTGCGAATGGCGGGCACGATAACTCAAAAACTAATAATCCAATCGGTTCCAAATTTTGCAACGTTTCTCTGGGAGTGTATAGCTCTCGTATGAACTAGGATAAAGCCAATCGGTGAAGATCTTCCTTATTTTTTAATTTGGTTTTTGGTAAAAAATCCTCGATTTTTCAAAAATATTTTTTCAAAGGGCCACCATTTTCTTAATTTTAGAGCGAAGTCAATAATCCTAGTTCATACGAGAGTCAGACATGTACTCTTTATAACGCCGTTCGAATTTTCGGATTCCGATGTTCCAGTGGGGAGTTATCATGCCCGCCATCAAAAATAAGGACTTTTCTTTAATTACAAAAAACAACAACAAAACAATAACAAAATTTTTTTGTAAATTATTTTTCTTCTCTTTTAAATCTTCAATTATATATGTGCAAAGTTACAAACCTTAACAAGCATTGGTATTGATTTACCAGCCCATTGAAAATCTTGAAAAAATAAAATCGAGAATGGGGGGGGGGTTCCCTTAAGAAAAAATTAAATAAGATACAAACGCATTTTTTAGAGTTATTTTTAAACAATATTGGATAGGATATTAAGCGATTAACTTAATGTTTATCTATAAATTGAAACTTTCTTTAAATTGGAACGATATATATTAATATCACATTCTAAACGTTCTGACTTTTATCTGACATGTCCGAAAAAATCTAAGGAACTTTTCTACATCTCTCCCCCAATTAAATATGTCGTATTTCTTTTGGATTTTATTAAACACATATAAATATTCGAAAATCTTGAATTAGCAACATTTCACTGTATTTGGAGAATAAATATCGCTCGCTTATCATCGAATAATCCAGAGAATGAATTCTGATGTCAGTTGTAGTTCCAAAAATAATATAACAAAATTGTTGTGTTTTTTTTTTAGTTCTGGACTGGGTTTCTTCTATGAAATACTATTTTATTTCCCGTATTTTATCACTTTTCATATCGAATTTTAAACTTTAGACTTTTACACGACATGTCGGAAAAAATTCGAAATTCCTTAACTACAACGCATTTGGTTCCCAGAGGCCAAAAGATCTTCTAATAGAAACATTTGACCAACTTTGAAAATTCAATTCCTCGAACCGTTCAAAAAAATCATCCTTAATACTATACACTAATATTAAGATTGAAACCATGATTGCCAAATTGTTAAGTTAACATTTATTAAAAATTAATTTATTGCATAGAACATACAACTTTTCAAGTGCTTCAAATACAATACGACTAATACATAATTTAAGATAACATATATAAGTAAACATTTATATATGTTTTTGTAATAAGTAAATACCCCATTCTTATCAAATAGAGTTTTTTTCTATAAAAATTGTAAAGCAGTAATTTTTATTAATTTTATTGGAAACAGTATAAGAGATTTTTTGTGATAAAAACGTATTTAATATTTATTTAAAATTATTTATTTTTTTATAATTATTCTAATTATATATATAAAAATTGAACGATTTCAAATTTTAACAAATTCAAAGTATACAATAAAATTGAGCTTTTATTTTCTTTTGCATTTCAAACAAAAAAATCAAAACCAAAAAATATGAAAACAAATATCAAACAAACAAAATTCGCAAAAAAAAAAAACAAAACCAAAATCCGAATGGCAATCAAATTATCCTGAAACCGAAACGATACGATCATATTACGATTTTCCAAAAAAATGTGTAGTAAAAAAGACGTTACGTGCGATATTTTGGCCTTGTACAATACGTTGGATGCCAGAAACGACTACCAAAGCTGTTTAAACCAAAAAAAGAACAAAACAAAAAAATAATAATTTATGCAAATATTTAATTTTAAGTAGTAATTTAACTAATTAAATTGAAACAAATTAAAAACAGAAAACCCCAAAAAACACAAAAACATCTTAATTAATAAATTTTGAACAACAACAAAAAAAACCTTATTAAGAAGAACAAAAAAAATTGCAAAAAAAATATATAAAAAATCAGAACAAAAAAACATCGAAAAAAATTCACTAAAAACAAAGCTAGCAAATAATAATATAATTTAAATTACAAAAAAAAAACAATACAAACAAAATCCCAAAAACCTGAAATAGGTAAAAATCTAAAACAAATTAAATGAAATATTAAAGATTTCAATAGCAGAAGAATACATTTGAAAAGAAATACAGTTTTTTTTTCGAAAATCAATGAAGAGACAAAAACAAGCCATTCATGAACAAATCCAAAAAGTAAAGAAACTGAAACGAATAATCCTTTCCGTCACATCACGAAATAGTTTCCAAAATTGGGGATATTTAACCAATAGCAAAGATTGTTTTAAGAAAATGCAATTCTCACAGTCCTTCAGAGGAAGAATAAAATTACACGATCTGCAACAGCTATAGATTCGGTATGAAAATAAAAAAATAAAATAACAGTAAAAAATTAACAAGGTGATAATGGCTAGAAAAAATAAATAAAAAAAATAATAATTTATGTAGTCGAGAGAAAAAACAAATATTCCAGAGAATAGAATAGAAGGTGAGCAGTCAAACACCAAGCACAGTGGTTTTTAAATCAAAATATTTTTTTTAATAATTTAATTTCGTTGCCATTGTATAGTCAATATTGATCAATGATCCTTTATAACTTTCCACTTTGAATATGTAAATTATTTATATTTTAATAATCTATGTTAAATATTTCACCGACTTGTTGGAAGGAATATGGATTATATTGCATATTCCGCAGAAAATTTGATTTTTTTCTGCATGTTTCTATATTCAGTATTTATTGAAATAGGTTCACTAAATTCCTCCAAAATTAAATGTCAAAAACAAAAATTGTTCAGAAAATTATCCGACTTGTCGGAAGAAATTCGTAGGCATTATATATCGCCAAGAAAAATTTGAATTTTGTTGCATGTTCTCATATTCAATATTTATAGAAAAATATGTTCGATAAATTCCAACACAATGGAATATCACAAAAAAAAATTTGTTTAGAAAATTATCAGACTTGTCGGAAGAAATTCGTATTGATTATATAATAATTCTAACCAAAAATGTAAATTTTGTGGTATGCTCGCATATTCAATATTTACATAAATATCTCCGCTAAATGTCTCTCTTCTTATTTCTCCAAAATAAAACATTAAATAATATAGTTTAGAAAATTATCCGACTTTTCGGAAGAAAATCGTAAAACTTTTTTCTAAAAAAATACAAAATTTTTTTGTCTTTTTTTCCCAATTCCATCACTATAGAAAATAATTATTTGAAAAATATCACACAATAAAATATAGTTTAGGAAATTATCCGACTTTTTGGAAGATATTCGTAGGGATTTTATTACATATCCCCAAGAAAAAATTGAATATTTTCGCATGTTTCCATATTCAATATTTGTAGAAATATGTCCGCTAAATTCCACCAAAATAGAAGGCCACAAACAAAAATTGTATAGAAAATTATCAGACTTGTCGGAAGAATTTCGTATGGATTATATTACAATTCGAAACAGAAACGTGTATTTTGAGGTATGTTCCCATATCCAATATTTACAGAGATATGTCCGCTAAATTACTCTCTCTTTTTTATTTCTCCAAAATATAACATTAAAAAATATAGTTTAGAGAATTATCCGACTTTTCGTAAAAAAATCGTAAAACCTTTTTTAAATAAAAATTAAAATTTTTTGTCATCTTCTCTCTTTAACAATTCTACAGCAATAAAGTAGAATTATTCGAAATATATCACATAAAAATGTAGTTTAGAAAATTATCCGACTTATCGTAAGAAATTCGTAATTTGATTATATTACATATCTGAAGAAGAATTTGAATTTTGCTACATATTCTCATATTCCATATTTATAGAAATATGTCTGATAAATTCCAACACTATAGAATATCACAAACCAATTTGTTTAGAAAATTATCCGACATGTCGAAAGAAATTCGTATGGATTACATTACAATTCTAAACAAGAATGTACTTTTTTTGGCATGTTCCCATATTCAATATTAAAATCCCAGGAGCTCGTAAAAATTCTTATAACGGACCTGAGTGCCATTATCAGACACAACACTCTCGGGTACCCAAAAGGTGTTGAACAAGACTTATTCCATGTATTTATATGACTTTTTAAATTTTTAACCGGACGAAGAAATAAGAATTTTAAAAAATGACCAAGGACTATTAAAAACCTATATGTCCTCACCTCAATGGGATATTCGTTATACTTTTGCACTCATAAGCTTCCTGGACATTACACAAGATGTAGGATCTCGTTCCTATTAAAAAGTTTACCTCAAAAGTAGGAGACACTACCTTAATATCGTCATCCCTATCCACCAGCTTGCACATGGTTTGAGGATCAGTAAAAAAACCCCAACGACTTTGAAATGGGCCTGGACCAAAGACCTGACATGATTCATCCAGTTTTATCTGCATAAATTCGCATTTGAGTTGAGCTTGAAATTTATTTGGCCTTATGCAGTTTACTTAAATTTCTCTCTATATGAGGCAACGGGAAATGCATTCAGTTTCCTACTGGACCTGACAAAGGATATTCGTGATACTCATAAGCTTCCAGGACATATAGGATTTCGTTCGGATTTACGTTATTCTCTCAAAAGTCGGAGATACTATTTAAATATCATCCACTCTATCCATCGTTTGTAGAACATTACAAAGCATGAATGATTTTAAAATGATATATATGTCTCCCAGAAACTGTGAATCAATCTTGGCCCTAGGATGATTCATCCAGTGTTATCTGCCGAAATGCATCTTATTAATTAATCTGTTCTTGAAATAAACTCTGCCTTAGTCGGTCAACCAAAATCCCCCTATATAAGGTAACGTGTACTTGTCCGCCTCTGGCACTACATTCAGATTTCTACTGTCATGGCACAGCCGATTCTTGCCATGTTTTATGCAAAACGATTGACGAAGACTATGGATTTGGCGATTATTCTATAATATCAATAATCAACATCTTTTAAAGCAGGGATACGAAGTCGACTGTTAGACTCTGGTTTTGATTAAAAATTCGACTTTTAGATCTTCGATTTTCAACTTCTACCGACTAATGTTGAAAAGTCCATTTTTCGGTATCCTCATATGTATATCAAAATAAAGTCGAGTGTTCAATTGCCAGAGAGAAATGAGATTGCTTTGTAGACAGAGAATTACTAGTCTTTCCCAGGACCTATATTTCAAAAGATAAGATAAACTGATAAACTGCTACCGAAATATTTCTTCTTAGCCTTTACTTTTTTCGAAATGTATTTCTTGATTGATCTCAGGCATATACGTTGTACATGCTTATCAATCTGTAGACTAGATTCCATCCATAATATAACTCTAACATATCGAAGCCTTCTCTACAAAAGGAAAAGCTCGTTCCATAAACAGTACAATCTCCTTTGATTCGCCCGACAAAAGGGAACTAGGTCATTCATAGTTCGGTCGTGCATGGGTTCAGTCAATGAACGAAAAATGTAAACAAATCATTCATAAAAGGGATCAAAGAGAACTAGGTGAACGAGAACAAAAAATTAACGATTGGGTCAAAATCAAACGAAACGAAAGAACCACAACTAGTTCCGATCATTCCTTTTGCGGAATAGTTATTTTGAAAAACTTGGTATGAATAATTTATGAAAAAATGTTTACTTGGAAAACTGTATTTGTAGATAATTCCATAAATTTTTAAGAACAGTTCCAAGCATATTAAAAATTAAATTTCAATTTATTCAGATAATTCATTCGTTCATTGGTCCAGGTCAAATAGTTCAGCCAATGAACGAAAAAAATGATTGGACCAAAAAGAACTAGATGAAAGAGAGCAAAAAATGAACGACAGGGGTCAAAATAAAATAAGCAAACGAAAGACCCACAACTAGTTCGGATAGTTCCTTTAGAGGAATAGTTATGGAACTAGTTCTTTCCTAAATGCTTGATATGAAAAATGTATTAAAATAAGAAACATGTAAATAATGATGTAACAGTGATCTATCGGGCCTAAAAGCTACTCCAACGTAAATAAATTTGATTATGGAGAAACGGATTTTTTTGAGAATTTCATCAATTTTTAAAAGTTTTTCCCAACATATTAAATAAATAGATTTCCATTTATAGAAATTTGTCGAGTTCGCCCGGCAAAGATAACTAGCTCATTCATAGTTCAGTCATTCTCATTGATTCACGTCAATTAGTTCGGTCAATGAATGGGAAGATCTAGATTAATGATTGAATCCAAAGGAACTAAGAGAACGAGAACGAAAGGGGGCAAAATAAAAAAAACACACACACACAAAGAACCACAACTAGTTCTGATAGTTCCTTTTGATGAATAGTTTTTTGAACTAGTTCCCTTCCGAAACGAACTAACTCTGGAAGTTAGTATGAATATATACAAAATACACATTTGATTATCTGAAAAACGAAATTTAAATGATATCTGAAATAAGTTGTTGACTTCTGATGGCATTTAGAAAAATTTCATAAATTTTTAACTTTTTGATCAATAAATTTCAAGTAATTTTTAAATTTTTTACTTGATTAAAAACCACTGTGCAATGTAAGATAAAATATCACATAAATATACTTACACACCACATACAGCAACGATATTAATAATGTATAGGCAAAAAGTGAAAAAAAAGAAAACACCACAAACTCCCCCCAAATTGTAGATAAAGAAGATGAAATGTCCAATTAGAAAAATAAAAGAAAGCAACCCTTAACAAAAAGAAAAAATAATTATCGAAGTTAAATAAAAACAGTGGCTTATTAATAAATGCCTCAGAAAATAGTAAATATTAATAGACGAAATTCTTCTGGGTCAGAAACGA